AAAGGAAAGAAAAAGGGAACATACAAAGGGAAGATTTCTGTTTTTATTTTTATTTTTTTTAAATATTTATGCTTACAGAACTGGGGTACAGGCCAGAGATGTGATGGGTAAGAAGATTCACCAGAGAGAGTAGGGAGCAGAACAGGCAGATCTGAAATACACTGCTGAGGGGAGCAGTGGGTGGGTCAGGAGAGGTCTGCCATGTCATGTGGGTCATCTCCTGGCAGGGTATCGAACTTCTGCTGAAGTGGCTTTGGAGAGCTTCATAATGTGGTGCTTTAACCTGCTGAGCCACCTGGGAGACCCAGAAGATTTCTATTCTTATAGAGATTCTGAATGTCTCTGGGGTGGGTCCAGGAATGTACTAATTAGCAAACTCCCTAAATGATCTTAATACCGAAGACTAAGGTTTGAGAATCTCTTTCCTATCCCACAATGTGGTAGCACTAGAGGTGGGCCTTTGGGAGGTCATTAGGTAATGAGTGAGGGTGGAGCCCGAACAAGTGGGCTTAATGCTCTTACAAAGGAGACCCCAGAAAGCTCCTATGCCCCACCATGTGAAGGAGGACACAATGAACACAGTCATCTGTGAGTCGGGAAGTAGGCGCTCAGACAGTGCATCTGCCAGTGCCTTGATCTTGGACTTCCCAGTCTCTAGAAATGTGAAAAATAATTTTCTGTTGCTTATAAGTCACTTACTCTATAGGATTTTGTTATAGCAATGTAAGGTAACCTCTTGCTGTTCTCTATTACTCACACGATGGGGTAAATGGAGTACCTTCCAGAGGACTGGGATGATGTCTCTTCGTAGTAGTGAATTAATATAGCTGAACATCTTAGAGAGGTAGTGGGGTGGAAAAAGCACATCTTTCATTCATTCATTCATTCCATTTACTGAGGGCTCGTTAAATGTCAGGGCTATATTTGGCCAGGTGCAGATCTTGATCTGGCTTTGTGGGTGATGACAAGGTCTCCACTGTCTGAGGAACTTCCATCAGGCCCAGGCATCTGAGATTGCAGGTCATTGGTAAACAAAAGGGTGGAAGGGCCCTTGGCTATCAGTCTAATCTCCTCAGAACACATGGGAAAAATAAGGAAAAGGAGAGAAAAGGGTAAGTAATGATAATGAAAACCATTCAGTGAACCCTCTTATTTTATACAGAGGGTTCTTCAATGTCCTTGAAATGTATTGTCTTATTTCTTTCTATCATCAACCCGACAAGGGAGGGAGGTTTGTCTTTCCAGAGTTGTCTAGACCTCCAGAGGGAGAGACATAGGAACAGAAAAGAAAAAAAGGGAAGAGCAGTCAAGACATGCTAGGATGACATCCCAACTGCCCTGTAGTCCTCTGTGGGAGGACACCTTGGCTGCGCTTTAGCTTTAGTACTTGGAGGTCAGAAAGTTTTGTCTTCTACAGCCAGGAATCAGCAATCTAGGCAGTGGGTGGGGTCCACTTCCTGGGGAGATACTTGCTGCACCTCCGCCCATGGCATCTGGATGCCACAGCCAGTAGAGCCTGTGGCTACTGCTTTCCAGTTTGTCAGGGGCTTTCCCAAGAAGCCTCTCTAGGAGCTCAGCTTTGCCCAAAGGTAAGGGAACGTCTTCCAGCAAGTCTTCCAGAACTACATCACTAGCTGACCACCCTACCTCAGTGGGGGCTCTCGGTATGAGAAGGTCTTAGTGCTTGCAGATACGATCCTTTGCTAAGTTTAGGAGATTCTGGCCTCTCCTTTGGTCAATAAACTCTGAAAAGTACATTTTTGTTTTACTTCTTTCCATGGAGCCTGGTAGCCACAACTGACACAATAAGGAACTTTCTGGTTTACAAAAGTGCTTTCACCACTCTGGTCATCTTTGAATTCTGAAACAACCCTGGGATATGAGTAATGGTTTCAACGGGTGAAAGAATGTGGCCGAGAAGCAGAACTGGAACTCAAATCTAGGCCTTCTAACTCTAGTCATGTGTCCACCTCCAAGCCTCATTGTGTACGTAGCAGATTTCAGAGTTATCTCATATGACTCACCAGTAAGTAAGGGAAAGAATAACAAGTCACTTTGAGAAAGAGAACCTAGATGCTTTTCTATAAAAAATGCACCATCTCCTAGGAAAGTAGATGTTTGTGCCTGGCTCCATGTTAAAGCAGTTAACAGCAGTAAGTCCACTGACCACCCAGACTTGGATTTCTTGGAAACTTGTCACCACCTTGGATTTCTTGCTTTCCATATCCTTGCAAAAGTCTTCTTGGGCAGGAACACAACATACTTTGTATAGACAGCACCCATGAGAAACAACCATTTAGTGTGCGCCAAGAGTAGAAGAGGAGAGACGGGAAGGAGTCCTAGTACTGAGAGGAAAAGGGCTGCCAGAAGTTTGCTTGGTTTTGAGAATGGCAGGTTGCTGTCTCTGGAAAGGCACGAGGTAGATCACCACTGAGACACCCATAGCTTCCCTGACCTTGACAGCAATTTTCTCTTCACAGAGATGCCCAGAGGACACTGTACCAGGTGCTGGCTCTGAGACAAACTGAGAAGGGCTAAAAAGTTCTAGACAATCAGTCCCAGCTTCCAGCTGAGCTCTGTAGCTGAGTTCCCATCCATTCCCCACCATTGCTGCCTACCTGGCTCTTCAAACATTGTTATCCCCTTCTGTTCTTTCACGATGGGCAAAAGCAAACACACCCTGGATGGATAGGGAGCTTCAGGCAACACAATTCTCTGTGTGGTGGCAGGGGCCAGGCACAGATAATCCCAGGCAACAGATAACCCAGCATTTCATTCCATGGGTGATGAGCCTGGGAAATTCTCAGTTCTCACAATCAAACAAGGAAGCCATCTGAACTCCAAGAGTCTGGGAAGGTCTCTGCTTTTCTTGCAATTCAATGTCCTCACCCAAAACATGCTGGGAAAAGCGAGGATCAGCCCAGAAATCTTCCCTAAAAGCAGACAATCACCATTTAAATCCTTTCAGATATTTTCCTGCTGGGTTGCCTGGCACCAAACTGCAAAGAAAATTTGTAACAAAGAGAAGAATATTGCTACCAATACTACCCGTAACCTCAGGGAATTAATTTCAGCTGATTTGGAATTTTCTCATGAGCTGTAAAATAAAAGTAAAATCACTAATTACTGTAGTGGTTCCCAAAACAGTCTGATCTTTGGAATTACCCAAAGAATTAAAAAAAAAAACAACGTTTTTCAGCTCCCATCACAGATCAACAGTAGCAGCAACATTCCCATTGCAACAGCAAGGCCCAAGACTCAACATCCTTGACAAGTTCTTTGGGTGTTTTCTTTTAAACAGTAAACTGTTATGCCTGGTGAGCTGACAAGGCATTAAGTAAGGAGAGGGGTGCAGCCAGGAGTAACTGGTCTCTGCTAAGCCACCCGCTGGTAATGAGGTGGGTTCTGCACCTAGGTGTGGCACTCCAAGTGTCCCCGGCTCCTGACCCAGACAGACGTCACTCGCAGGGCCTATCTCCTGCTCTTGTGCTTCCGTTCCCTTGCCCAGGCACGAGCACTAGGTCCAGCTGGTGATAAAGGAGAGAGAAGTAGGGTTCACGCCAACCTGTATGCTCAGGTCTGGATTTAATCCAGCCTTCCCCTGCTTGCTCCTACCTACCAGCTGTGAATCCAGTTTCGAGATTTCCAAATTCTTAATGCCAAGCTCTCTATCATGATTACTATTGTTTGAGCCTCTTTAAATTCCTGGAAAATAATTTCTGAAAATAGCAACATAGTGCAGGAAAAATGGCACAATAGAAACTAGTGTTCTAGAAGCAGAAAGTCAAGTTTCAGAAGTAGAAGGTCCCACCTCCTCTAGAAAGGTATGTGCCTTGAAAAGGTAAAATACTTAATATAAAGGCACTATTTTGAACTTTCAGTATGTGTGATACAATCTAAATAAACTGTACCATGTACCATGTAAACTTTTTCTTAAAACTTGAGAGAAAAGTAGTATTTTTAATTGCAGGTTAGAATACAACAGCTCAGGGAGCGTGACAACTTGTCTAAGGTTAGCGAATAAAAGGCAGAGCTGGATTCTAATTTGGACCTTACTCTTAACACCCATGATGCTGTCTCTGCAGTGTTGCTGTCTGTAAAACAAGTAATATTATCCTCGCAGTACTGTTGCAAAGATCAAATGAAAGAAATTTAGGTAGTGGAACAAACATCTTAAGAGGGTCTGTGAAGAGTCATTCACCAAGTGAGGGTCAGCAAAATACCTCCATGCTTCCTCCATTTCCCTGCAAAATCAGAGTCAAAATGTAAAATTTGTCAGCTACTTTCCTCCTGACTAGAGAGGCAAGGTCAAAATGGGAGAATAAACAGGGGTTTTAGAAATAAGAATGCAAGGTGGGGATCCATGCCAAATCATGAATGTAGGAACAATACCAGCAAAAATGATCTGGGCACCATAATGGGCCACAAGTCAAGTATGACTCAGTAGTAGTGTTTCAAACCATGACGCGTGTGTATGTGTGTGCATTCATGCATGCGAGCGCACGTGTGTGTGTGTAAGCAAAGCAAGGGGTGGTACCCCTTCTCTGCCCAGAAATAGGTCTTCTGAGCTTAAAGGTCTTAGCACTTGCTATTCTCTTTACCTGACACTTCCCCTAACTCAAGTATTAGCTGTCACTCCTGCAGAGGGCTCTCCTAACCATTAAACTATTGCCTCTACTTTACATTCTCTCACATTAAAAATTTTAGCACTACTGAAATCATCTCACTGGTTTATTCATTTGTTTTGTTCACAAGAATGTACACCAGAGGAGAGGAGCCATATTTGTTTTGTATACCTCTGTATCCCCCAGTTTCCTATAACTATGCTTGGCATGTAACAGTGCTGAACAAGTATAAATCAAATGATGAGGGAGGTAGGGAGCACAGGTCAGTAGCATGGAAAGTGTAAAAAATAACATGTGGCTCCTGCTTCCAAACTGGTTGGAGAAGCAGCAGCAGCATAAACATCCCATGACCAGATGCTAAATGTGAGGCAAAGAATCAGAGGCAAGACAGAGGTGGCGGCAGGAACAGAGTTCAAGAACAGGGGTCATTCTACTTCATCTTTCTGTGTCTACACCTACCACGGTGGTTGAAGATTAGGTTGTGAGCAACTCTGAATTGCCACCAAAGTGATGCCAGTGGATTAGGTGAGATATGAGACTTCGTGTATAATTTGGTATCTTGGTTTGCAAATACTCATACTTAGTAAGTTCATGGACTATGTCAGGAGGTTCTCTTACACTCATAGTATTAAATATAGGCACATATACAACAAGATAACATTTTGGCTAAAATCTATGTCATTTATTTATTCAAACAACTGAGTATCTTCTATGTTCGAGGCCATGTCCTTGGCACTGAGAATGAAGATAAACCCTGGCCCTCAAGGAGCTCACAGTCTAGTAGGAAATAAGTACGTATAAGTACGTAAATAAAAAAGTACAATGTAGACTCTGCAAAAGGAACCACTGTGGGCGGTGAAGAGAAGGAACACAGTCTTAAGATTAATGTCTACAGGGAAGGAAGATCTGGCGGATGGGCATTTCTTTGTGAGGAATAGCTAAGACAATGGTTCTTAGTGTGGCTGCTCATTACTACATCAGAATCAACTGGAGCATGTATCAAAGCAGACCGGCCAGTGCCTTCTGCAAAACCTGACTCAGCAAGTTGAGGGTCTGGCACCTGGTAATGTGCATGTTAAAGTTTTATAGATAATTCTATTACAACTCAAAGATTAAGAACCTGTGACATAAGGTTTGCTTTTTACACTGGAATCAAGAATGATCTGCACATCTAAAATGCTAACTTGTGTTGCTCTTTAATGAGAAGGAGTAGGAGGAAGGAAGAGAAATAGGGGTTGATATTAACCTCTAATGTAGTCTCTATCTATTAATTCTCACAATATTTCTATGAGGTAGATATTATCCCCATTTTTTTTACAGATGAAGAAACAGAATTAGAGAACTTAAATAATTTGTTCAACACTATAGAGCTAATGAATCCCAATTCAGTTAACTCTTAACTCACTTAGCTCTAAAGCCTACCCACTTCCTATAACAGCATTCACCAAGAGAAACATTTACTGATCAAATGTAATTTTCACTTGATTCTTTGCCAGTTCTTGGTATTGCTATGGTAAAATATACAGAATAGCCAGATGGTACTTTGATTATGTTCAATTCAACTGTCCAAGGATACAGCCTTTTTGGGCACACGGTGACTTAGGGCAAACCTGGGAGGAACAATAAAATGAGCAAGTGGTTCTTAATTCTTTTCCCATCATTTTCTTACCTCTGGTGGAGGTGTTATGAAAACAAACCATAGCTAAGAACTGGGTACATCCAGAGGGAAAAGCAAACCTAGTTGGATGCCCGTGAAAGCAACTCCATCTGATTTCAATGATTCCTAAGACTCAAAAATATCCACACTCAGGTTTCTCAGAAAACGAACTGTCAGAGCAAGAGACAGGCCCAGAGTTTGCAGTAGGAACTAGCTCAACCTTCAGAGAAACTGTGAGAGACTAGCAATGTTTCCAGGTTATTAAACAAATACTATCTGTCTCTCCCTACACACGGACTCCCAAGTACAACAAAATACAGAGATCAGAGAATAATGGGAAGTCCAATCCCAACTAAATAGCTTGGGGGTAGGCCCAACCAATAAAAAGTCTTCTGTGATAAAGAAAACCAACTACAAATATTGGTTAAACTCTCACTCAACATATTCAGTGACCTACAAACCAGATCTTTGACAGGAACAGCAAAGTGGAACATGATAGCTCAAGAAAAGGAAATGCATGGTTGACACAATACTTGGGACCTCAGTCAGGTTCAGAAGGCTGGTGAATTACCACCGCCCTGTTCTATCACTGAACTCAGAGTTACAATAGCCGTGACAAGCTGAACCTGAATTTGCAGTGCTGGAGAGCTCTGTTCTTATTTTTGGTGTTTCAAGCAACTACTTGAATCCAAAGAAGAGTTCTGATCAAATTAGCCCACACCAGTGATACATGGATAGCACACAACTTATATTTCGATATGTAGTGTAACAAAGATGGTAAGCCAGACTTTATTTTATTGCTACATTTTCCCCAAACCCAATCTGGGGACATTTGCTTCCACCCACTTTTTAATATAATACTGGCACAACTTTGAGTTGTTCAACAAAACAAAACATGCAAATCTGGATCGGATCGACCCTTTTCTTTCAAAAGTGTTGATTTATTTACACTGCTCTTATTCACCTAGCTCAACTACACCTCCTCCTAATAAGCAGAGTCAAAGGAGCAGGTGCCATAGACTGTGGTTTAATAAAATACAAGCATTGTACTTGTGTGGTTACTTTTAACTGAAATCTACGGCTACTGTAAATTAGCTACACTATAAAGGCAACTCTAGGGAGCATAGAGGTGAAGTCTTAAACCTAATGGCAATATTTGGTTGTTCTAGAATCAAAATAGGATATTTGGGTTATACCTTTGGCCAGCCAAGTGGTAATAGGAAGAATTTACAAAGCCTCCACCTAACTACAGCAAGTCTTTAAGCTTATTATCCTGTTATAAATTCATAAAGATGAGGAACTAATTATCTGCAAGCTGTGAAGTCAAAACAGCCAAAATGCAAACACATTGTTACACTGTAAAGTCAAGTCAAGCAGCCTCTAGATCCCTGGCTGTCTCTGGTTAGGAACTTAAACATTTAAAAAAGAAACTTCAAGTATGCTGGGAGACAATTATCAGAATGCTTGGGTACCTTCATTCCTGAATATCAAGTGATAGGGCTCACCTCCACGACCACTCCTCAGAGACTGTAGATGCAGAGCTCCTTCCTGAGAGTTCTGAGGGTGGGTGGCTCTAGATTCTCCAAGGCTGAGCTGACTCTATAAGCTTTAAGTTTTATCCTGGTTCTGGACACATTTCAGTTCTGCTCCAAGTCCACTTTGCTCCAATTCAGCGATGACAGACATATATTTGAACTCATTTGGTCTGAAGTTAAAGGTTTCCACCAACCCGTAGGTCTCTTTGCGATCAGTAGCATAGAAGAGCTGAACCTGGTTGGCAATGCACTGTGCTTCAGCAACACTCTGTAAGGTAAAAAAGAAGGGTGAGGGTTTTTCTAGCACATGGCTGCTAAGTTTGATGTCTGAGGTTTGTGGTGAGAAGGGGCCCTCAACTAAGAGTCACTGCTTCCAGAAAGTTCCCCTGACTCTTGATGTCTTTTTTTTTTTTTTTGGCATATCCAAGTTATCCATGCTTATACCTATTATAGCATTCATCATAACATAGTATACTTAAGCATTTTTTATCTTTTTTTCTCTGTCTTCCTTAGTGTGAATTTCTCAAAGTATGTGCTTACTTTACAAACTTGCAGTGAGTGGTTGCTAAATAAATTAACGTTTATGTTTGAAATCTCTCTTTTATTCACTTCCTTAAATAATTGTTAAGTGTGTCTCAAGAGGGGGAAAAAAAGAGCAAAAGAGCAACAGTTAACTACCCAGATCCAAAAAAAAAAACAAAAAAAACAACAGCCTGTGAGTACTATTGCTGACTAACCAGACAAACTCTGAATAAAACATGTTTTTGGCACCTCAGTCAGAAAACTAGCATCAAAATCAAATTTTAAAAATGTTAGTTTTTAAATGTTACTTTATGACACACTTGCCTCTGATGGTGCCTTGTCTCCCTTTTCTAGAGAGTACGCTATGCTAGAGAGCAACCTGCTTCTAACAGAAGGACTACGGTGGAATGACGGGGAATAACTTCTGCTATTAAGTCAAAACAGATATTATAGCTTCTGTATTGCCATCTCTCTTGAATCACTTGCTCTGGGTTAAGGATGCACATTCAAATAACTGTAGGAAGAAGCCAGTGTGGCAAAAAAAGATGGTCTCCTAACAGTAGCTGTGTGAATGAAGTCAGAAGTGGATTCTCAAGTCCAGTTAACCTTCTGATGACCCAAGTCAACACCTTAACAGTAACTTCACAAGAGTTGTCTTCTGAACTTCACAAGACTTAAAGCCAGACTCATTTAGCTACATTACTCTTGTATTTGTGCTCCAGGCATTCTGCGGTATTAAATATTTGTTGTTTTAAGTTTTGTAGTAATTGGCTTTGTGGCCATTTATCAATCCACCAGCAAGGCTCAGGAAAGAGAAGGGGCCAACGTTTCTAAAGCTAAGGAGTAGGTAGTGACCAGACCACTCACTTTGTTACCATAGGAGAGGTGAGCACACATGTTACATTCTCAAAACTTGATAGAATTACCTCAAACCACTCTAACTTTTGTTTCTTAGTTGGTCAGAAGCACTATTTCATTATCCCTATGCTCATATGACTAAAACCAAACTCCAAAAGGTAATGAAAAATTCCCACTAAAACTTACTATCAAAAGTGTGCTGTGTCTAGCTATGGAATGATGAAGACGGGTTTATAAATACCCTTCGCTGCTCCCCCTCCACTCCCTCCTATGGGGCTTTCAGGTCATTTCTTACAAGCAGGCACTAATCTCTGAGACTAGATCTTCAATCAAAAGCCTTTTTCCAAAGTGCTGGCTATTTCAAATTAATAGAATTTTAGAGCTGGAAGGGGCCTCAGAGATCAGCAGTCCTCATTTAATAGGCTTGGAAACCAAAGCAGATGAGGTTCAGGGATAGGCCCAAGGTCATGTGCGAGCAAATGGCAAAGCCAGGACCAGATCTCTGGACACCCAGGCTGGTACTCCGTCTACTTCATCAGATACTGCATCTTGTGAGGCAAGATAATTAAGACTGTCAAGGTCAATAAGTACTTCATCAAAATTTACCTTTCTTATACTCAAACATGCCTCAAGAACAAACAATTTCTAAAGTACATTGCTATGATCTCAAGCAGATATCACTACTCTCTGAGCCTCTCCACTGCAGGGATTCTGATAATCAACTTCTGTTTGAGGCAGAGGATGGTGAAGGCAGAGGTAATTTTAGCTGTGTTCACTTCAAAACAGTGCAGGCAAACTACAGGGTCTTAGGGCTCTGTGTAGATGCTGCAAATGCCTTTACCTGTTTCAGTTGTTATATCCTAGGGCTGTAAAACATACCTAAATTTTGCTTGCATAAAGACTTCTGACTACTAGTTTGAAGATCATTAGTATGATGGATAGGAAGATAAGACATGGACATGTATACAGTAGCTATCTGTCATGGAAGTTATGAAAAGCATCCACTCCCCTCCTTATTCACTCCCTCTTGTTTTCTTAATTTTCAACATTAAGCAGTGGTCGTGAGGTTTTTCCAAGATCCAAGGTAAACATATTAATTCCCTGTGTTGCTCAATAAGTTGATAGGGTAACAAACCTGATTTCTCCTTCTCTTTCAAGCTTCATACTTATAATCAATTTAACATGTCCTGCACATTTTTTTACCCTATATATTTCTGGGGTCATTCTCCTCTGTCTCTACTACTATTGTTCTAGTTTAAGTCTTTACTACCTGTTGTCAAGAATATTGCAATTGTCTTCTAAACAATCACACTGACAAGGCTAGATATTAAAAATGTTTAGGAAGCAAATAATTAAGGTTATGATCTTTAAATACAACTTTAAACGGGCCTCTCCCTGTTCAAAACCATTTAATGACTCCCTGTACCCTGAGGATAAAACTAAACCTCTGAACACAACTAATCAAACCGCTTTTTTTTAATTTTATAACAGTTTATTTTTATATCATTTTGTACATTTTTTTTTCTTCCCATCTCAATTGTGATCCCCGCGAATCAAACTACCTTTTTTATATACCAGTGGTACCAAACTGTCCACAATGTCCCAAGTCATTTTATACCTCCCAGCACTTATGTTAGTCCCTCTGGTGGAATAATCCCCAACCCCTCTTTTTTTCTCATCCCCCTACTTTTTTATCTGGTTAAGCTCCTGTTTACCTCTGAAGGTTCAGCCCAGATGTCATCTCCAAGAATTGTTCTTCCTCCTTCTGGGCCAAGGACCCCTGCTGTCTACCACCAGAAACTGTGCCTATCTCTACCCTGACATTTACTGCATTCCAATGAAATTATCTATTGAGACATATGTGGAATCGAATAAAGCTAGGTGTTTGAATATTCTGTTATATTTTCTGAATTAAAGTGAGTTAGTTCAGAAGGAATCTCTAGTTTTCATTCATATGCTTTACAGTATTTGGAAATTATATGCTTAAATTGCAAACTCAAGTATGAGTATGCAGAGGATTACAAATTCCAATCACATTTCTAGCTTTCTCATCTTTGAATCATGAATCTCTTCAATAAATTCTAATGGCTTAGTTTAGTATTACGCTGGAAAATCAGTCAATTGATTGATACACGACAAATGTTTAAGTTGTCTTGCATGCTGTTGTGTGTTAGAAGGCTAAAAAGCAAATTTTAATGATGATGTGAACTGTGTAGCAGTTTGAGACTATCAAAGTAAGGTGGTAAAAATGCCAATGCATAAAGGGCCTTCTCTGATCTGTACAGTCTACTTGAATATGGTTAAAAGCTGTGTGTTGCTGAACACTAGAAAATGAAGTACATTCTCTATGTCACTTCTGTGGTCAAATCTTAAAACATGTCATTATTGGTGATTATAGCTACTCCAAGTCTCAATTTGAAATGTCTACATTTTGTCTATTCTTTCCTATCTGTCTTGGACCTCCCTGGTGGCACAGTAGGTTAAAACACAGCACTATGAAGCTATCTGCAGCCACTGCAGCATGAGTTTGATCCCTGACCAAGGTGACCCACATGGCGTGGCAGACCTCTCTGACCCACCTGCTGCTTCCCTCAGCAGTGTACTTCATTGATCTGCCTGTTCTGCTCCCCACTCTGTCTCTGGTGAGACCTGTCACCATTCCCACTCCCCCCCTCTGACCTGTACCCCAGTTCTGTATGCATAAATAAATCTTAAAAAAAAATAAAACAAAACAGTCTTCATAACTCCCCTCCACCTTTTTTTTCCCTCTCTTTTTTTCTCTCTTCCCTCAAAAGAGTAGTTTATACTTACTTTCTAAGTTCTTTTCCCATCCTCTCTTAAAGATACCCTAATCATGCTTTTATCCTATCACTCTTCTGAAACTGACCCCCAAAAGTCCCTATAGACTTCTTTGTTGTGAAATCTAGTAAATTCTCAGTCTTTATCTCATTTGCTTTATCAGGAAGTGAGATCTGGCCAGGTGAGCACTACTTATTCCCGAAAACATTGTATCTTAGCTTTGAGGGCTTTCTACTTAGTTTCCTTCCTAACTCTGTTCCTTTTTAATTTTCTTTGATAATGATTCCTTATCTCCTCAGGGTTCAGTTCTAAGACCTCTTCTCTATTCTATCTTCATTTACTTCCTTGGTAATTTCATTTAGTCTCAAGGCTTTAAGTAACAATCTGTAAGCTGATAACTCCCATATTTGCATCTTCAGCCTGGATCTCTCTGCCAAATGTCTGGTTCATTTATCTAACTACCTATTACTTGGATATCTAATAAGCATATCAGATTTAACATGTCAAAAATTGACTTCCTACCAAACCTGTCCTCCTGCAATCCTGTCTATCTCAGTTAACAGCAATTTCATTCTTCTGGGTAGGATTTTGAGGTGACTTCCAGTTGAATGTGATGGGTGGAAATATGGGACAGAGACTGAACAATTTCAGTTACAGGAGACAGCAAAGCAGAGTCCTAATAATGTCTGAGACTCGGAGCTCACTGCTACTGTGAGATACCAGCCCAATGCCATCACCTTTCCCTTCCCCATATGCAATGACTGGGGGGGCTGGGGGGGGTGAGAGGGAAATAAGTGTTTATAATAAGGATTCTCAGGGGAAGCGGCACCAAATGCCCACTTTCTTGAGGACATCCTGAATGCAAGACCTGCTAGATAAATGAGGCTCACTGAGGAAGGGCTAGACAAAGAAGTTATATAGAAGTCATAAGACTGCTCCTGGCACTGGATATGCAGAGAGAGCACATACAAGGGCCATTATTACCTATGTGCATGTGGTGGCTGCATGATCCCTGGGAATAGGAAAAGAAGGAAGGGAAATCCTTATATATGATATGGATGGTATATATGAATAGTATAGAGGAAGATAAAAGGTTGTAAACTATTCTAGCCTTTGAACTCTTTCTTACACTTAAGAAACCATTCACTTGTTTATTGCCACCAGGAACTCCCAAGGAACAGATGACTCTTGGAGTGAAAATTAATGGATTTAGAAAATAATGAAAGGAGAAAAATCCCATTGGGAGTTGTAATTGAGAAAGGTGTGGAGTTTAAAGCAGAGTGCGGGAGCCATTGAAGAAGTGCAGGCTTTGCCATCCCCACCCCAAGAGAGGAAAAACATTTTAGGAGTGTGCTTAGTGAGAGAAAATCACAACATCCTAGGAAACCTTGTCAAAGGCTGCTTAAAAATTTTTCTGCTTAAAAACTTAGTGGCCAGTCCTAATTTTAACAAATCTTACATATCTAGAAGTAAGCTTGTGTTTTTTGTCTTTTATGATTTATTTTATTTATTTACGCATACGAGAGCTGCAGTATAGGCCAGAGGTGCAGGGGAGGGGGTGAGAAGATTCACCAGAGACAAGAGTGGGGAGCAGAATAGGAGAATGACTGAAATACACTGCTGAGAAGAGGTCTGCCGTGCCATGAGGGTCATCTCCCTGGCTGGGGACTGAACTGATGCTACAGTGTCTGTTGATAGCTTCACAGTGCTGAGATTTAACCCCTTGTGCCACCAGAGAGGCCTCCTTTTGTGGTTTTACCTTTAAAGACCCCTTTCTAAAGGCCTGCAAATGGGGGACACTATCCAAGGTTTCTTTGAAATGTGAACTTCAGGATATATTCCTTAGCTTTGACCCCAAATAAAAGTTCATTCTCTCCGAAAGCTCCGTACTCTTTTGGATGACAAAACACAGTAGGCATAGATATTATATAACTGTATTATATAGCTTTCCATATTCAAGCACATTTTAATATTTCCCTACTATGTGAATATCCCATTTAAATATCCCTACTATCATAAATATCCCATGGTGGCACAAGGGGTTAAGATGCACACTCTGAAGACCTCCACAGCCACTGCAGCATGAGTTTGATCCCTGGCCAGGGAAGGTGATCCACATGTACAGCAGACTTCTCCTGTCTTGCCCACTGCTCCCCTCAGCAGAGTATTTCAATACTCTGCCTGTTCTGCTTCCCACTTTCTCTGGTGAATCACACCCCTGCATCTCTGACTTATGCCTTGGCTCTTGTATGTATAAATAAAAGTGATATAAAAAGAAACAAGTTATCTCACATCAGCAATGATTTAGCTCTTTTTTTTTTTTTTAAAGATTTATTTATTTATGCATACAGAACTGGGGCACAGGCCAGAGGTGCAGGCATGGTGAGAGGATTCACCAGAGACAGAGTGGGGAGCAGAACAGGCGGATCGACAAAGCACACTGCTGAGGGAAGCAGTGGGTGGGTCAGGAGAGGTCTGCCACACCATGTGGTCACCTCCGGGGCAGGCAGGAATTGAACTCATGTTGAAGTGGTTTTAGCTTCTTACTGCTGTGCTTTAACCCACTGCGCCACCAGGGAGGGCCCTGATTTAGCTCTTAAAGGGGTTTAAGTCAGGTGTGACCAAATAAGTTATTAAAAACTTTTATTTTTAAAACTTTTGGACTTTTAAATTGCAAATTTAAGTGATTAAGGATCCATACTAATTTCAGTTTGGAGGAACTTGAGTAAGACAAAATTAATGTCAACTTAAGGAAATAGTACATGAGGTCTCTGGAATTTTACCTCTTCTGGATTTTGGCAGAAGAATAACACCTTCAGGGCCACCAGGTATATCCAGAGGTAAAAGTCAATGCTTACCAGAAATGTGGAGTCCATTTCTGCTGTCATCAGCACTATGCCTTTTTCATCCTTAAGTTCAGGGTAGTGATATAAAATCAGTTGGCTGGTTGCAGCATCCCCTCGGGTCTATAAGGAAGAATACTTATCAAGGCTCAATAAGGTACCACCACAAAATACTGCAATTTCAGAGCAATAGAGAGTCTGGAGGAAATTCTGGCTCTTAACAACCCCTTGGGTGGCTAGTGAGTGGAAGACCAGTATGTGGGGGGAATGGTCAGGCCTGCCAACATACTGTGAAACTGACAGTTTGCATGGTGTTATTTGTGCCTTCAACTGAAAAGGTTTGGCTTTTTTCCCAGAAAATGTTTACAGTAGGCAGTGAATCCTTCATCGTGGCCATATATTTAAAAACAAATGGCACAAGCAGCTACCAAATCAAGTTCTAAAGAAAGCAATATGCCTATGTAATTGCCACTTTTATGGACTAGTGCATTTCACAGTTGAAATCTAGTCCCCTTGGCTGGCTCTGAAGACTGAGCTCTTTTAAGCTGTAGCAAACAGCTGGAGAGTTTGCACATGGGTCAGATTTGTAATGTGCATTTAAAAAAATATAATCTGGGCAGGGGTAGAAGGAAAAGAATAGGGACATCATAATTTCATGAGGAATGGACAGGGCAGTGGGTACCAGACCTCAATCCAGACTAGGAAGAGGGCTGGCTTCAAAGTTAAAACTTTCTACCTATAGTGTATAAAGAAACAATCATACATCTAAAAAAGATCTTTGGGTTTTATTTCTAAAATCTCAGGAAGAATCCTTTTAATAATCAATATCATACTATTGCTAGAGTTTTTTTTTAAATAGGAAAGATATATATTTTTAAAAATGTAAGTATCTAGGTATTGCTAGGGCAATCTAATACTAAGAACATACTTCTAACATAGTAATTGTTATGCTGATCATTTGGTCATAATTATATTTCTGGATCTTTCACTTCTATTTGTATCTGAATTTCATGAGGGCAGAGAAATATCACAGATCTCCAGGATCTGGATTAGTCCCCAGCATATCAGCACACTGATTAAGTTCCCAGGAGTCGATAACTCAGAATCAAGCCCAGTTATTGATTGGCAATGTGAACCAATTTCTCCAAGTCTACTTTATTCTCTGTAAATTCAAGTAATAATAGCAATGTCTCATAAGATATTTAAAAGGATTAGGTGATGCTATATATAAAACTCTGACATGGAGTTTAAGTACATCAAATTTGGGTTATCATAGTATATGCTCATTAAATGGTCACTAGCTGAATTATAAAATAACTAAGTAAAATGTTTCCCCTTCATTATATTCTGCTCCCTTTAACCCAAACAGGTTAATTTGTCCTCATACCTCTAGACAAAAAAAAAAAAAAAAAAAAAAAAAATCCCATTTAAGGTATGTTTTATAGCAAAGTTTGGCCCAGATATGCAAGTGATACAAGATAAGCATTCACCACAGTGATTAACCTTGAGTTATGCCTCAAGCAGGTCAGAATTCAGAGACCACTGATGGCCCCAAAAGATACAAAGAGGGTGGGAGAGGGCACTAGACTACATTTAGAGGTGAGGGGGGCATCGTGGGAATTTCAAGAATTATCTGAAAAAAGCCTCCCCATACTTCTGCCTGTATAGACCACTTTATAACTAGCCAATCAAATTTTATCAAGCCTCCCAGCTCATTTATTCTTAATTTCCCCACTCTTGTTCCTTCACTTTTAGAAAAACTCCTACCCAAAACTCTGCAAATTTGATGTTCTGTCTTCTTGACAGGTGGCCTTGCAATAAAGTTCTTTTATTTCTCATAATATTTGCTTTTACATACTCTGGCAGTAAGCCCACTGCTTGATAGCAACTGTATGTTTTTTGGGGGCCAGATTTGGCCTCCAAATATAGAATATAAATCATAGTTACAATCTGATTTATTTAATATTTGGGAATAAAATAAGGAAAAAGGAAGGAAGAATGGAAGCAAACATAACAACTATGGGATGTAAACTATGCATTTACAAAGCTAATAAAACACTTGTAAGACATGGAGCTCCCTTTAAGACTTATAGTTCAGGTTAAAAAGACAACTAGCCACCATAGCACCCAACATACAAAGTATGACAATTCACTGATGCCACAGCAAATACTACTACTGCGAGCTAGCAGACACTCTGTGCCCTTGAGCCTCAGCAAAGACTCACAATCCTATCAAGGGGGAGGCCTTCCATCGAGGGACAAACACAAGCCACCTACCTGAATATTTATAAGTGCAGTGAAGTGGAGTTCAGTACCCGTCCACTGTCCTACATAGAACTCATAACCTTCCCTTCTTGGTAGTGCACACAGAAACTGTGAGAAATACATAAGGAGAGATCGACAAATAAAATCATTTGTTCTATGTCCTATGTTATTCACTACATTTCTTTAATACTTGATTAAAACTTTTAAAATCAAGAAATGCCTGAGATCATAATTAAAAAAATATCTCACATACTTTCCGACCCATCTAAGACAGAAAGAATTAAGAGATACAAGTAAAGCTCTCTCATAACCCATCCCAATTTCATAGGCTGAGATAAATATGTGTATTAAATTAGCTTTGGCATGTATGCTGTGAAACCACTACCAGAAACTAAAGAATATATCTATTACTTCCAGAAGTCTCCTAGTAAGTCATCTCTCTCCCCAGTTGTCCCAAAATAATCACTGACTTGGTTTCTGTCACTACGGGTCAGTCTACATTCTCTTTTTTTGTATACAGAATTTGTACCTCTTTGGTGTTTAGTTTCTTTCATGCAGCATGTTTACTTTGTGGTCTATTCATGTTGTTACACATATACACATTGGGATAGTACAGAGTATGAAGAGAGTGGAAGAAAATATCCCATTTGGCAACATACATAAGCAATCCTCATGTGATAGCCAGAAACTTACTGTTGGACATGACTGAGCCCGGTTCCATATCAAATCAAACTTCTCTTTCTGCAGGTTAGAAAAAGCTAAAATTAATTCACAAACAAGAAAACACAAAAGGCCTAATCACCTCTAAATTTACCAAGACTGAATTCTCTAGTACTAAAATATAACTAAAACAACCTCAAATTCCATCATTTATAAATCCCTCTTTTAACACAGAAGAAAAACCAGGTATTGTGCATTGTTGTTCAGCGTTTGATAGAATTGTGTTGTTCCAAATCCTCTAGGGGACTATGCCAAGTGTAAGAGATATAAGGTCACTGAGTCTATCTGAGGGAAAACTAAGAAGGCCTGGTCCATGATCCATTCTCAGAGATCTAAAGTATTGTGAAAAGTACAGCCATTGAGCTCATGAAGTACAAGGGTATGTATAAAAGGTAGAAAATAAGGGGCAATATTCTCACAATCACCAAAGGGTTTTTTCATCCTTTTGTCTGCTTTCTTTCTGAATTTACACTTACACATGTAAGCTCAGTATATATTTGTATACCTATATAAACTTAACTTAAGCCTCTTCCGCTTCAGGGAAAAAGAACAACTAAAGAAACAGCTGATAGCCCAGTACCTCAAATACTTTCTTATGGTATAACTCAGGAGGAGGACAGTTAAGTCAGAAACCAGTCTTTCCAGTCAAAGACTTAATGTTCAAGCAGAAATCACTGACTAACTCCAAGACAGCAATTCAAGAAGGGAAAAACCAAAACCAAAAAGAAAAAAAAAAGCCACATGCTAAGGGGAAATATCAGAAGAGAAAAAGACCAAGTCATTTCAGGTATAGGTCATTTCCAGACAAGGAAGGGAGAAAGCTATGCTAGAGGCCCTTTCTTAAATTCCAACAGCTTGGTGGAAAACACCAAAAAGAAATAAAAGATATCAGAAATTGCTTAGTGACATGAACTTATACCATGCTCCCTTGTCAGAGACTGACTCAAAGAGACATTTCTGAACTAGAAAGAAGGAAAACAAGAGCTATAAATATACCATATGGAGCTTCCAATCTTTGGTGTTCAGGGCATAATAAAAACCCTCAGAGCTATAAATGAAAGTTCTCAAGAGGCAATAAACATAGGAAAGTAAAGGCAACTACCTACTAAGGTTAGACCCCTGACCTTCATGCAGTAACACTTTCATTTCCCCTCCAAACTACTTACAGGAATAACTGCGAAGACTGTATCTTTTGTTGCAAAATACTGCTGCCAAATCTGTACAAAAAAGAGAGGGTGTCTGTGACATTTGGGAAATCTTTTCAACCTGTATGAAGAAATGATGACAGCTTTCACTGTTCAGAATAATGTGCTACTTGATAAAAGGAAGGAAAACCCAACACAATGCTTTTATTACGAATCTATGATTACTAAAAAGATGTAATACCACCTGCTCTTCTAGATGATTAAACTGTAACCCTTAATAACAAATTCCTGCCAGAGAAATGGATTCTATGACCTTGCTAATCATTTTTCTCAAGATAGGCCTTGGGTGTTCATAGACAATTTCTTTATTTCACCTTATTTTCCCCACTCAAAATCCATACTCCCCAGCCAACTGTGGATCTTCTCAGAGAGCCAGGACATTGATCACTCAGAACCTAGGGTCTGGAGTCAGGCATAACTGGATGTAAATCTCAGTTGCAATCATCTGCTGGTATGCTATTTCAGGCAAATTACTGAAACTAAATTACATTCAATATAATCATTGATAAAATACCAGTAACATCAACCTCACAGAAGTGTAAAGATTAGTTAAAATAATGTAGGCTTGTATGTAGCACATCAGATACAATGCAAACCAGAGCCTAAGATGCTCTGAGGGTACAATAAAGGGGCACTTTACTGAAAAAGGGTAACAAATACCAGAGGAGATGTATCTTGAACAGTGATCAGGAGTTTGCTGGGTAAATGGGGAGGCTGGGAAGATAAGCAGACTGGACAGAAGATAGGAACAAATGCTAAGCAAAGAATGGCAATATCAGCAAGGCACAGGAGTCAGGGGAGGTGCCATAGTAAAGTGATACTGAGTGAGCTGGCGAAGAATGAAGAGTTGATGTGAATCCCCTTCTAGGGTTGCTTTGTCAACTTTCCCATTAACATATAGGGCTCCAGCCAAAGACACTAATCAAAGACACTATGATCTAACCAATCAGAACACTGAGACCTGGGCAAGCATTTACCAATGCCAACATTTACTTTGCTTTATTTACTTTGGGATTTCAAAACATACTTCTTATTTACAAATAGCATATACTGCTTACTTTCATTGAATTTATATTACTACAGTTTATGAATTAACACTGAAATTTATGAGACTGATAGATGATTCTTAACATAGCTGACCTTGATTACTCAAAATTATCTTAATGAATACAAATGCGTATCTGAAATTACAGGTTTAAATGTTACTTGTCATATGATCAGGCCTGTTGGGCCTTGCTTGTCTCCCCATAAAGGACATGCTTGTTGTCCACTTTCTTCTGGTACTTCTCCTCAAAGGCAAAGTTTGAGGTCTCCTTGAGAGTCTGCACAAGACTATTAAATGAAGCTGTTTTGTTTCTGTCCCGCACTAGGCTAAAACTCCTTGAGTGTAGGGGATTCTCTAATTTATTTCTGAGTCTGGCACAGAGTCTGATATTTAGTACACATTCAAAATTTGCTGAAACAAATGATAACACATGACAGAAACCATGAAAAGTGGCACAATCTCATGTAAGGAACATGATGCAGTCAGACATGGGTTGAGGAGTCCTACCACTACCACTAACCAAGTAATCTCATTGAGTTTCAGTTTCTGCAGCACCAACTTTAGAAGCTTTTCAAAATAGTGCATATGAAGCACTAAGTATAGCACCCAACACACAGCTGACTGCTTTTATTATTTATACTCTCAATATTCCTATAATATAGTTCAAGGACCTCTAAGAAATGCCAATAGCTTATGATAGTCTAGAGCAAACAGAATCACAGACATAAAAATGTAAACAGCAATGCAAATCAAGGCATCTAGAATGACTGACAGTACAGATCTTATCTGAGAAGCTTCCTATAACAATGGAGGACTCAAGGAACGTGGGAAGTCATTGAACACTCGTGAAGTTACTTACTTTTATTTATTTATTTGAAAACATAAAAAAAACATAAACATAGCACTTTCTATGCCACATATTAGTTTTTGTTTTCTTAAATATTATTTATTTATATATACAGAACTGGGGTACAGGCCAGAGGTACAGGGGCAGTAAGAGAATTCACTAGAGACAGTGCGGAGCAGAACAGGCTGATGGACGAAGTACACTGCTGAGGGCAGCAGCAGGTGGGTCAGGAGAGGTCTGCTGTGCCATGTGGGCCACCTCCGGGTTGGGGATTGAACTCACACTGAAGCTGCTGTGGCTAGCCTGCAGTGCTTCTTCCTAACCTGCTGTACCACCAGGGAGGGCCCACCACATATTAGGTTAAATGATTTCCAAATATTAAATTATTTAATTCCCCCAAATAACACCATGAGATAAGTACTACCATTAACTGGGCTAACTTAACAAAGTCATTCAGCTAGTAAGTAGCAGAGCTAAGACTTAAAATTGGCAGTTTGGTTTTAGAGTCTGTGTTGTGAAAAACATTACTTTTCTTCTTATGAAAACATGAAGAGGATTCAGCTGGAAAAGATATTACAGGGGAAGAAGGAGTGAGCAAAATAAGAGCAGGGACACCTATTTAGAAAGGCAGTATAGTAATCCAGGTACAGACTAGTAGATTTTTTTTTAAAAAATGTGGGTAACAGGAATGGAAGACACAAGGATAATGCGAGGTGATTATATATAAGAAGTGAAAACAAGAAAAACAGTTAAGGCCGCTATTTTCATCACTTTTGCTTTCTGTGGCTACCATTCATTTTGGGGTAGGAAGAAATATCAAGAAATGTAGGCCCCTTGGACCTTCCCTTGTGGCGCAGTGGGTTAGGGTGTAGCACTGCAAACTAGCGCTGCCACTTCAGTGTGAGTTTGATCCCAGCCCCAGAGGTGACCCACATGGCACAGCAGACCTCTCCTGACCCGCCTGCTGCTACCCTCAGCAGTGCACTTGGTTAGTCTGTCTGTTCTGCTCCCCACTCTGTCTCTGGTGAATCCTCTCACCCCCCCTGCACCTCTGGTTTGTACCCCAGTTCTGTCTGTATAAATAAAAAAAAAAGAAAGAAAGAAATGTAGGCTCCTTTCTGCTTTCAGATTTGGTTCACAGAGTATACTTTTTCATAACGTAAGCCACCTATTTTCATTCATTACCTGTTTTATTTCTTCTGCAGTTTTGTCTTTCACCATCTCAATGTTAAAGATTGAACTGAGAGTCTGAATGAGAAAATAAAAGGCAATTAAGTGTCACAATTAAAAAATGAAACACCACTCTCTAAGTCTTGTGGGAAGCAACATTTCAGGACAATGAAGCAGAATGTCAATAAGTGGAGAACAAAAATAAGGAAACCAGCTTGCTCTGAGGGGTTCCCAAGCCCAGGCAGGTCCTCACAGTTCTGTCCCCAGAGCCTCTATGCCACTTCTCAAATGCCTGGCTATTACTTTTAACTGCTCTTCTAGAAGGGTGATAGGGATGTTTTTTTATTTGATTTTTAAAAAGCTATTTCCTATAGAAAGGGAGGGTATCACTGCATATTCTTCACACTTTCTCTGGCACCTTCAAGGCCAATACTATCTAGGAATCCTACCAAAGACACATTTCAGAAATATTTCTCATCTCTATAGTGGGAAAATCACCTTACACAAAACTCCCTGAAATACAGTATGCTCAAATATGCAGCCTCTGATTACAGACAGTTCATAGGACGTTAGACTTGAAGATAGAAACCTACCTTATCCTTAGTGAACCCTCTGCTCACAGACTGTTTTCCCAAAGCGTCTGCCTGAAATACATAAGATAGGATATTAATCTATTACTTTCTCATAAGAAAAAGCCCACCTATTTAGGTGTAGTGTCCAGTATCTTATTAAGTTTTTTTTTTTTTTTAAGATTTATTTATATAAATCTTACGAAACTGGGGTGCAGGCCAGAGGTGGTAAGAAGAGTCACCAGAGACAGAGTGGGGGGCAGAACAGGCAGACTGACAAAATACACTGCTGAGGGGAGCAGCTGGCAAGACAGGAGAGGTCTGTTGAGCCATGTGGTCACCTCCCAGGCGGGGACTGCACTCACTGAAGCAGCTGCGATCTGCTTGCAGTGCTGTGCTTTAACTGGCTGTGCCAGGTGGGCCTGGCTTTGCTTTTTTAACATGGTTTAATAAACACTGACTTTCAGAAATGCAACTACCATGTAACTTGAGAGATGATACATTGTGGAATCTCACGAGGGTTGCTGAGTTTGAGAGTTTTATACTCACTAACACAATATCCCTGCTCTGGTAAGCACTTTGCTGCTTCTATGTTCACATACAGGAGAAAGTATCTGATGATAGTGTTAGGTCTCTCAGCACAATTATGCCCCAGGACTTATACATAAATATATTTTAATAAAAAAATACTTTACATTATGGTTAGGGAATTACATTGATACATTTTCTCTGAAATTATGTGAGAGGATGGGTTATAATGTCTACATTTCATTTCAATGTGGGAAAATAAAAATTAAAAAAACATAAAATTGATTGTAAAAAGGAGATGGTGAGTCATTCTGACTCCAAGAAAAGGCTTTGGGAAGGGATAGTAGGGGTTAGCCATGAGTTCCCTTCCATCTAACTAGGTAAGAAAGATAGTAAGTGAATATGAACCTAAGAACTGTCATAATTTAAACATGGCATTTGGGCCTCCTTGGTGGTGCAAGGGGTTAAGTCTCAGCACCATGAAGCTGTCCATGGCCACTTCAGCAGGAGTTTGATGCCCGGCCAGGGAGGGATTTTCTACTCCCCACCCTGTCTCTGGTGAATCCTCTCACCTCTTTCCTGCACTTCTGGCCTACACCCCAATTCTTGTAGGCATAAATAAGTAAAATAAATCTTAAAAAAAAAAAAAATGATGGCATCTTATTATGCATCTTGTCATTATGAGGTTAAATTTCTGAGTCTGCTTTTCATAAAGGGGCAAAGAGTTTCCCTACATAATATTAAAAGTTTATAATACAATAATACTTCCAAGGTTCCAATATTTGCAACATTGACACTATAAATGTTTATAATAGGAAATTACACTTGTTTAAAGTATTTGAATAGAGGTGTTTGTAAAGTTGTAACTATGTTTATCAGAGGGGCTGAATTTGTCCTCAATCTTGTAGTGATTAGTTCACTGACTACTGACCATATTATAAATAACTCAACCAGTTAATTCAAGACTGAGTGGATTCTCTTAAAATTTAGGATATCTGGCCCTCCCTGATGGCGCAGCGGGTTAAAGCACAGCACTGAGAAGCTAAAGCCACTTCCGCATGAGTTCGAATCCCGCCTGCCCCGGAGGGCACCACATGGCGAGGCAGACCTCTCCTGACCCGCCCGCTGCTCCCCTCAGCAGTGTACTTAGTTGATCTGCCTGTTCTGCTCCCCACTCTGTCTCTGGTGAATCCTCTCACCCTCCGCAGCTCTGGCCTGTACCCCAGTTCTGTACAAATAAATAAATAAATCTTTAAAAAAAAAAATTTAGGATATCTAAGGTGAAAATTATTCTCCAAAATAAAATAAACACTTCTCATTCTAACACAGTGCCGGATCCCAATTTTTCACTATGACTCCTTATTTTAGGCCCACCCAGTCCACACCTGGTCACTGCCTATTCTCCCTGCTTCCTGACTCATTCTGATATGTTCCAAAACAGCCTACGTTAGTATTTTACAAACCAGTTTATGAAATTCATTTAGTTGATTGTGGTGGCCAGTCTTTTTAAAAATAGGGGGAGGGAAATCAGTGCACTGCACTGATGTGCAACATTCAGTTGCAATCACAAACACACACACACACTGAAGTATGAAGTGAAATGTCTTTCTTACAATGGGCTGTGGCCAAAAGGTTGAAAACTACTGCATTTAGACTGATCTTCCAAGACACAGCTTTCAACCTGCTTTCTCCCAGCTGATTCTTATTTAAGTACAATGACAGCTAATGTGGACTAAACACTTACTTCCCCTCCCTGCTGTCCAGCACCATGTGTGCTTGGCTTGACCACCCAATTGCAGTTCATGAGAGAATGGAAGGCCCTTTTCATCTCTGAACTTCTCCATGACCATAGTATCTTGCCAGAGAGGGCAGGATACCATTTGTGGATGGAAACCACGCTGAGAAGAAAGGGTAGGTATGTTCATCCAGCTGACCCATCAATGCGCCCACTCCCAGGATAAGGGTCGGAGGGTACAGTGCAGAGCCCTGCTGAGTCCACAACACAAAATGGCAGGTCTTACCTTCTGTTCCACACTTCTGATAAAATCTCCTTGCCGGGAGTGCCCCACTGGCTGCCTTCGAAATTCACTGCGCTTCTCCAGTCGTGACTCAAAAGCAGCTGGGTCAGATCTGAACAAGAGTAAAACAAAGGTAAACTACTTGGGTCTTTTTGGATTTTGAAATAGCAAAACATGTTCCACTTCCAGAAAGCAAAGACACGGGCATTCAGAGACTGGGATTTGCCTTCAGTTAGTCAGGCCTGAGCACAGACCTATATAAATCAAGAGAGTGGACAAAGAAATCATCATTCAACTGCTGTAACATTTTCCTCTTGCATTTCTTTTCTAGGGTGACAGAGGGCTTCATCCTTCAGGTACCTACTCTCTGGGTACTTAGCTCAAATCCTCAGATTAGAAGGGTACTCTGAGGTCACTTGTGGCTCACTGTCTCAGGCAGGAATCCTAGGTGTCAAGCTTTTACTTGCACACATCTAGCTCTCAGAAACTTCCTCCTCCCCATACACTGCCCCCATCCCCAATTTAAAATCCTATTCATAGACAAGTGATTTAGAGGCTTCCAAAGCCTATTTTATAGACTTGGCACATAAGCATTTCCCAACCCCTGTCTCCATAGAACATACGCCTGCAGGAGGTACATCAGAAGTCATTCTTTAAGCCAAGAGGGGGTTGGTCTTCAGGTTTGGAGTCTGGATTGGGGCTGTCTTCTCTAAGACTGCCTCAGGTGGTGGAGCCAGTGATGCAATACTTTGAGGACATCTTCCAGGGACACCAGCTTCTCAGCTATGAGACCTGTAGAGTCATGGATAAGGACTGCAGGATCCGAGGACATTTTCGTCACCTTTCTGGTGCAGTCCTTCCTGCTCAAGCATGGTAGGAAGTCCTTTTTCCATAAAGTTCACTTTAGAGGACATCAAATGCTACTTCCTTCACTGCTATGCACTGGGGCAGATCTTGCTCCCCCCTCCAGTGTGGGCCAGCAGTGCCCTGACAAGTGGAGTCAAACCAGAGGTATTACATACTAGGGGTGATGCCTGCCTGGCCAGGGCTGCAGGCACCAGGACTAAGTCAGTGGCTAAAGCCACTAAGGTGAGCAGTTGGAGAGGGCAGGGAAGCCTAGGCAGTGAAGTCCACATACTCACACCTTAGGTATCTTTTATTAGTAAATATTCTGTGACTGTATCTATCTTTCTGTAACTTTCATCCTCAGGAATCAGAGGGTAAATTTATTATTACACAGGGATATAACTTTTTTTTGTATGTGTACTTGAAAATCATTCTTAGGCCATCTGCTAAATTTTTCTCTAGGTTTAATTACCTGTTTTATTTAGTCCCTCTTCAGATATGTGATTTGTGATTTTTCCTAACTATGGATCTCATCCCTGGTCACCCGCTAGTTTTTCTACACTACAGATAGGAGTTTGGCAATTAAATCCTCCCAAGTTACCAAAGCAGAGTGTGACGCAAAAATCCAGAGTGGACTACCCGCGGGTCAGCAGGGCACAGCCTTCTTGCTGGCTTACACTGAACTTGTGCTAGTCCCCCAAGAGCCCAGGTTTTAGTGGGTATGCTCCAGTACTAATCAAAAGGACAGTAACTTCCCTAAAATATGTCATGAGTGTAGGTGAATGGGTGAGATGGGAACTAGAACTCTGGAGGTGAACTTGAGGCCACACATACAGATGCTGAGTTAAATGGCTATAACTGAAACCTAGGATGATAAACCATTTTCTTTCCCTCTCACCCACTGCCTCAGAAAGAAAAAGTCTCATGATATCCTGGTCATGGGCCCTAAGGCCAGGTTCTATCTTGCTCCCTCCTTTAACTTGGCCCAAGTTCTGCTGACCCTTTTTTGGCCTTGCTTTCCTATTTCCGTTCCCAGTTTCCTCTACCTGAACCTCAACTTCTTTTCCTTTGTAACCACAAGGCTTTCCCTCCCATCTCCCTGATACTTGCTTCACTCAGCCTCTTCTAGGACTTATCATTTCCTCTCTCCTATTCATTGACTTAACAAACAACTTACTGTCTCTTGCTTGCTATTTACTTTGCTGAGCTAGTTACTTTGCAGAAATAAGTACAGTACCTACATCAAGATGCTTACTGTCCAGTGGGAGATATATATGTGTATACTTATCTATCTACACACACATATATATGTATATATATTAGAATATGTAATGTAGAGATTATGATGGAATTTTGCTCAAATAGTTCCCAAAAGGTTGAACTGGTTTCATGCCTCTGTACCTTTGCTGCTGCTGCTACTCCCTTTACCTGGAACATCCTTCTCCAACTGCACTCCTTAATTCTTTCATGCCAGACCTCAGGGCTAGAAAGAGTTTTGGCAAGTACTAAAGCATGATGGTGTTGTGTAGAACACTAATATGGACAATATCCAAAGTCAATGGGTTGCCCTGAGAAGCTCATTCTTTGGGAGATACACAATGTAAAAGATAATGGGAATTATCTTGTGGGAAGGAGAGCGAAACCAGTTACTCACTTGTTCATGAGTAAGAATGAATGAGAGCTAATGAAGGACAATACTTTAAGTTCTGTGAAAGGTATCAGAGGCTGCAGAGTAATGTAAGTTAAAAAAAAGTTTTTTAAGATGATAAATACTTGTGTATATCTGAATGCTGTTAGGAGGGTAAAAATATTCACTTATGCCGGCCCTCCCTGGTGGCACAGCGGGTTAAAGCACTGCACTAAAAAGCTAAAGCCACTTCCGCATCAGTTCGATTCCCGCCTGCCCCGGAGGCGACCACATGGCGCAGCAGACCTCTCCTGACCCGCCCGCTGCTCCCCTCAGCAGTGTACTTCGTCGATCTGCCTGTTCTGCTCCCCACTCTGTCTCTGGTGAATTCTCTCACCCTCCGCATCTCTGGCCTGTACCCCAGTTCTGTACAAATAAATAAATAAATCTTAAAAAAAAATGCCATCATTCTTTCAAAAAGAGAAGAGAGACCATTCCAAAGCAGCAATGAGATGGTGTGAGGGTGGAGCGGTCCAATGCTGGAAGTGGAGGAGTCTAACTAGAAGATTCTCTAATAGTCTAGTCAATGCTGGAAGAGTAAGTGAAGGCTGTGGAAGCAGAGGTGAGACAAAACTCAAAGTTATAGTGTTCATAAGACAACTACCTGCCTTCTTTGCCAATTTCTCTTCCAACCCCCTTTAATTTTCACCTTTGATCTTCTTCAGCTCGTCCCACTTCAACTCTACAGACTTATCCATGGTCCTGAACACCCATATCAACCCCTCCAATCTCTAGATCCTTCCCTTTGGAAGCTGAGGGGCAGCATGGGAGTCAGAGGAATGCCAACCAGTTGTGACTTTTGCTCATTTTCTTACTCTCTGACCCTCCAATTTTCTCATCTTAATAACAGGATTCAATCGATGACCCAAACGGTGGCACTTTTTGTTTTTAATTGTCCCCTACCACCCCCAATCTCCTTTCCTTCCCGTCAGAACCCTAAGCCAGGAGAGACCAAACGAATTCTAGGCCTAGCCTCGGTTGACTCAGTATGTGACTCTGAGCAAGTCAAGTCTCTTCTCTGGAAGCCTCCAGTTCTACAAGGCCAGTAGTCTCTGACCGGCCTGCCGCCCAAAGGCCCTCATAAAGAGACCACTCACAAGTTTGAGAACTTAACACAGAGACACTGAGGGCCTGGGAAAGGGGCTAGGGCTCCGCAGAGAAACCCAGCTGACATCAGCTGTGTGATCTGCAGCGAGTGACTTGGCCTCTTCGAGCCCAGACACACCATCTGTAGCGTGGGCACGGTACTAGCGTCCACCTCGCTGGACTTGGGGAAGGACCGCCGGCGTCACACACACACCAGAAGCTCGGCCGCACGCCACCCCTCCTCCCTGCCCGCCGCCGGCTGGCTGGGCCCCGCACCTGCGCAACTGCTGGATCTTGTCGCGGTAGCGGTCGTAGAAGGGGTTAGCCTCGAGCTCGGCCTGGACCCTACTGCCGTCGGCTCCCCCCGGGGGCTGGCCCGAAGTGGGGCGCACCGGGAACACGCGCAGCTGAGCCGGTGACACGAGCCCCAGGCCCAGGGCGCGGCTTCGCACCGCGCACAGACCCCGGTAGAGGCCGGCCACCTGCAGCACGGCTGGGCCCGCGCCACCCGCCGCCGCCACCACCGCGGCAGCCATGCTCGCCCCCACCTCCTCCTCCTCCTCCTCCTCCTCCCCGGGCACGTCGACCTCGGCCCGCGGCCCGCGCGTCCGCTCCATCGTCCTCCGGGTCCGCCGCGCCTGCGCTCCGGCACCGAGGTTCCGCGCACCCAAGGTTCCGGGTGCCCGGGAAGGACAAGGCGGCGACAAGGACTGGCAGCTCTCGCCCTG